TTTTTTTTTCCCAGAGGAACTGAAAACTAAAGATTTTTCAAAGTACACCTTGGGCACAATAACATTTCTAAATGTTCCTACAAAATGGCAAATCTTTAACTTTTTGATTTTCAGGTCTATTTTAAAGTGGCTGTAAACTTAAACATTAGACATTTTTTACTCTAAAGCAGGGGTGTCAAACACCATTTCATCGCAGGCCGTATCAGCATTATGGTTGCCCTGAAAGGGCCGGTTGTATTTGTAAGACTAGATGTCCAGAGCACCCCCCCTTCCCAATTGCATCGGATTTCAAGAATCCCACACCCTCCCTAACATTACCATGCACTCCCTTTGGGGACAAAGCTGGAAAGCAGAAAGTGCAGGGTCTGGAGGAGGACCAGAGGAGGAGTGGTGTCAGTTCCCAGAGTCTGCTGAATTCTGAGAACAGGGGCACTGAGGTTCAGAATTTGGCAGAGGAGTTCTATTCTCTCTGCTTCCGACTGCTAAGACAACTAAGACAAGGTGGGGGTGGAGACAAGCGGGTACCTGTAGGAGAGGTGCAAGGGCCACATGAAATGGCCTGGAGACACCTGTGCTCTAAAGCATTCCTTGCATGAAGGAAAAATAAATCCCAGCAGTTATATCGCCTCCCTGCCCCACCTCTTTACACCTGAGCCCCCTCTCGATCCAGAGCTGTGCCCGTCTGCAGTGGTCTCTGTTCCTCTCTTCACAGGACACAAACCATTGGCTCCTGCTGTTGTCAGTCAAATCCTGTGAGGATAGAGAGAATGGGTTGGGGCTGAGCTGCACTGTGCAGCTATTGATGTACACAGCAGGGCTCAGGAGCGTGCCCACACGTGCAGCCATAGCACACAGTATTCTATGTGGGCACACAGAACAGGAGCCAGGACCTCAGAGGCTAATCGGTTCTAAATACCTGGTAGTGGTCTTATGATGTCCTCCAATGTTCCATCATGTCAAAGCTAACCATTGATTTGGACCCATAGTAGCATTGAGACGTGCATTAGCTCCTGTAATGAGGAACAGCAGGACACGGCGTACTCTGCAGCCCTGTATTTGAGCTTTGACAGCACCCCTCCCTGCGCAGCTCTGCAGGGCCTGATTGACAGCGGCTCCTGGAAGGTGTCTAGTCAACAAGTTAACCATTTCCCTCCCGGCCTGCAGCCGGCAAAAACCCTCACCTTCCCTCACCTTTCAGGCATGCGCAGTCTGCGCGCCTTCAGCGGCGCGATCTGTCACCGGCCGTGTACCTCGGACACGGCCAATGACGGATCCGAGAACTGGCCCCATTGCTGGTACCATGTGACCTGCTGTGACCAATCACAGCAGGTCACATGACAGTTGTATACAATGGATGGCTTCAGTCATGCCATTCATTGTATACAAGTGTGTCTAGCTGTGAATGGTCACAGCGATCACATGCACAAGCTGGGCCAATCACAGCCCAGCTGTGTCGTGATTAGCGTGGTCAAATCACAGCTAAGCACAAAAAAAAAAACCCTGAATGAATCAATGTCATTCAGGTAAATGCTTGCTTATAGCAAAGTAATTCTTCGCTATAAGCAAATCGTGTGTAAAAAAAAAAAAAAAAAAAAAAAAAAATACTGATCACTTCCCCAAAGTAGTACAATGTTACTATGGTAACATTGTACTACTTTGGTCACAGTGAAATATGAAAAAATCTTAAAAGAAAAAGTAATAAAAAATTATATAGTTTTTTCATACTGTCACCAGTCAGTGTCCCTGATCACTGCCATGCCAGTTATATGTCGACGCTGTACTGCACTGGTGACAGTATGTAAAAAAAAAAAAAATAGTAAAAATAATTTTTTTCATTTTCCGAAAAATTATGACACGTACAACTTCAAAAAACTCGCCATGCCTCTTATGAAGTACGTCGGACTGTCTACTTTTGCAAAAAGGGGTCATTTGGAGGATATCTGTACTCTCCTGACATTTGGGGGATATCTGTACGTGCTGACATTTGGGGGATATCTGTACCGTCCTGACATTTGGGGGATATCTGTACCGTCCTGACATTTGGGGGATATCTGTACCGTCCTGACATTTGGGGGATATCTGTACCGTCCTGACATTTGGGGGATATCTGTACCGTCCTGACATTTGGGGGATATCTGTACTGTTCTGACATTCTTGGACCTCAAGAAATTAGATTGGCTGTCAGTACTTCAGGATTGATCCTGATATATACCATAGTTTGTGAACTCTATAACTTTCCTACAAACTAAAAAATACATCCTAATTTGGATTATGTTCACCAAAGACATGTAGCAGAATACATCTTGGCCTAAATTTATGAAGAACAATTATTTGCAAACTTTTATAACAGAAACAAAGAAAAACGTGTTTTTTTTTTTTTTTTTTTGTTTTTTTTGGTCTTTTTTCAAAATTTACAGTTTTTTGTTTTTTTTTGTTACTTTAGCAAAAAATAAAAACCCTGGCGGTGATTAAATACCAAAAGAAAGCTCTAGTTGTGTGAAGAAAATGATACAATTTTAGTTTGAGTACAATGTTGTATGACCGCGCAATTGTCGTTCAAAGTGTGAGAGGGCTGAAAAATGGCCTGGGCAGGAGGGGGTTAACTGCACAAGGTGGATACAGACTTTTTTTCTTAGGGATCTCTGCCCCCTAGCCCTTGGACCTCCAGGACACAAGATCTAGTCTCCTAACTAAAACTGGAGGGTGTATTTTTGCTGTTTTTTTTAGCATGGTAAATGAGGCTAATGTAGGTAGTTACGTCATAGGCAAAGGGTTGACGTCTTTCTTTTTTTAAGCCTTTTCTCTATTCACATCTTTAGTTCAGTCTGCCTTGAAGAGGCCTCGGGAAGATGCAGAGATCGCTGTTCCACCTCAGAAATTAAAGAGAACAAAAACAGACTCTGTGGATGACTCTCCCAATTCCTCCAGTGAAGGTTTCCGAAAGTGAGTCCCTTGTTCCACGTGTACCATTGTTTCCCAGGAAATGTTCAGGTTCAGATTGCCTTTTTAATTTATTTGGTCTGCAGAAACAAACTCAACCTGGCCGTCGCTGGACCCAGCCGTAGTGGAGAGACTCCTCAAACTGGATAGGATCCTCACTGAGAGAGGGAAGATGGAGACCCAATTTCTGAGCACCCCGAAAAGAGAGCGCATGGCTCTGCTGAAGAAATGGGAAGAGAGCCAGATGGAGATTGAGGTGAGAGATCTGTGCGTGACAAATCAATTGCACCTGCATGCAACAAATTTTGCATTGGGAAATGAGGCTGATCGCGTTCCTTCTCAATCTCTTCATTGAGCTGGTTTAATCCACAGCTTTTCATAGCATTTGCTTTGTTGAACACCACCAGAGTCTTCTACAGCTCATGCCATATATACTTGTGTCCTGTTTTGTTTTGTACTTGTATGCTGATAGGAAGCCTGAGATAAATCTGACAGTTGAAATTTTGATGGAAAAACCAGAGGTGCGCTTCACTAAATAGCACATGACTAGTAGGTTCAGATCTAGGCTGCTGAAACTGTATTTCATTTTAATTAAAATAAACCTGTTATACTCACCTGCTGCTCTGTGCACTGGTATTGCACAAAGGGGCCCTCGATGGTGATATTGGTTTCTACTCTTCTTCGTGTGTCCCCATAGCAAGCTGTTTGCTATGGGGGCACAGAGTGTCTGCATGCTCCAAAAACTTGGGCAATGGGACTTGGCCCCGCCCCCACTTCCTCTTCACTGCATTTGATTGACAGGAGCAGAGGCCAATGGCTCCTGCTACTGCTCGAGTGCTGTGTGAAGAGGAAGAGGGGGAGAAGAGCCATGCACAGTGCTGGATCTCTTCTCCTTCACACAGGGAAGGAGGGGCAGAGAGCGAACAATTTTTTTTTTACCTGAATGCATTAAGGTCAACTTTTTTAGATTTAGTATCACTTTAAACCTTTCTCTCCAGCCACAGCATCCCTTTATAAAGTTCTGAATGCTAGGGGACAGGAAAGATTGGCTGGCCGCTCGCGTGACCACTGATTGGCTGGCCGCTCGCGGACCACGCTGGCCGCTCGCGTGACCACTGATTGGCTGGCCGCTCGCGTGACCACTGATTGGCTGGCTCGCGTGACCACTGATTGGCTGGCCGTCAGTGGTCACATGATTGGGAGCCTATACTGCTGGCTGCCATTCAGGAGTATGAACAAAGGGCTCCATCTTTCCTTTTTGTCTTTTGCAGCTCAGTTTCTGTGCTTTCAGCACACATTGACTGCGCAATGACACGCGTGTGGGACAGTAAAGCAGACCCTTTTGCCAACGCACATTGTGTTTAGCCATCATAAAGGGGGTTAACTGAATGTTACTTCTGTTTACATTTAAATTGTCTGTATACTTCACGTGTTTTAGATTTGTTCTAAAGTCGCTTGCTTACTTTTTTGTACAAATTTTTTTTTTTTTTTTTTTTTTTAAATATTCTGTGGCTTATTTCCATATGGATTTCTACATATAACAGTCTAAGTGCCGGTTTCTAAAGTAAGTATCGTTAAACCAAATTTTGCGGCACACAGCAGAACTTAAAATGTTTGTTTTTTTGGTCCTCAGCCTGTCACTACTTTTCGCATTGTCATGTGACCATTATTTCTCCCTCTATCTACAGTGTATGCATTTCAGTTTCGAATGGGGAACGTGTTCTTACTGGGGATAAGGGGCCACGTAATCATGTTAGTGGTTATGTGGCATCTACAGTACTTGCTCCCCAACCAGAAGTTCAAGGAAGTGGCTTTGAGCCATAAGGAAAGGATTAAGTGACTGTTGGTGACAAAAAAATTATACGATTCCTGATGTATTTTGAGAAAAGTTTCAATCGGCTTCTTTGGTAAAAGCGAATACTTTAGGTTTCATGTTTTGCTAATGGCACCTTTTTGTAATCTGCGCCTGTTGCTTCACTTTCACAGTTTAGCTTTAATCCTGTAACTAGAGATCGGTTTATGGCATTCACTTCATTTATATTCTTCAGAGGCTGAAGGAGAAGCAGAAGGAGCTGGAGGAGAAGGCTATGGCGACTGAGGCTCGTCTGGAAAAATCAAGCAGTTCAGACCTGGAGCTCTCAGATATCAGCGTGAGCGAAAGCATGTTCCGGGCGCCCCTGCGCACTCGGGCAACTTCTACCGCCAAGACCAAGAAGGTGCTCCGTGTTCTGCCCCTGCACCACGGTGAGCATTCGAGGGCAAATCCTGGAGAACTGACTGCTGGGATGCAGGAGGAGCTCGAGCAGTCTGGTACTGTCCTGGGAGCGGGTCACAAATGCTCTCTAAATTACCTTTGTTTTTATATCTGGAAGAACTTGAGGTTCTTAATGCAGTGAATACATGGGCACATATGTTCTGTGTTTTTTGTTTTGTTTTTTGTTTTTTTTTTGTGTTTTTGTTTTGTGTTTTTGTTTTGTGTTTTTGTTTTGTGTTTTGTTCTGTGGTTTTGTTCTGTGGTTTTGTTTTGTGTTTTGTTTTGTTTTTTGTTTTGTTTTGTGGTTTTGTTTTGTGTTTTGTTTTTTTTGGCTTATTCTGTGGCTGTTTTTTTTAGTTAGAAGTAGCTATTGGTTAAAAGCCTCATGAGGAATTTTCTGTCCATGCCCTCCTTTGAGATTTCCCTTGTCACTTTCTGCCTCAGACATGAGGAAATCTTCCAAAGGTAAGGGACAAAAATACAGCTCCTTTCCCTTTTTTTTAGCACAGAATCTTGACAGCCTGCCTGCCCTCCTATACAAACATATTAAAGTAGTAGTAAATACGTTTAAAAGTTTCCTGCTGCAAGGTAGTATAATGTACATACATCGCATATTAGCACATTATGAAAGACTTGCGGCGCGCTGCAGAGGCTTCCATCTTCACCTGGTCTTCCTTCCAGGTTCGCGGGCTGCGGCTGCTTGAATGGCCAAGCTGCCGGCTACGTCCCTCCCGCGCATGCACACTGGAGTTTCAACCACAGCACATGGCTCTGAAGAGCGCATGTGTCTATATCACTGGCTGCTTCTCTGTAGAATATCTCTTAAAACGGTGAATGTTTAGGAGACATATTAAAGATTGCCTATAGGTAAAATTTATAAGTTTACTTGTAGGTAAAAATGAACAAAGTGACTTTACTAATACTGTAAGCTGCTGGAAATTGACTGAAACTCAACTTCATAGTCTGATCTTTGAAGCTGAATTAAAGGCTACGTTCAGCTTTTTGTTAAAATAAATGCACATGATTTCGCAGGCAAAATAAAAAAGGTGCATTGTTTTTTTTTTTTTTTTTTTTTTTTTTGGTTTTGTTTTTTTTTTGTTTTCATCCATTTGCAGTGCATTGCACTTGCTATCTATTGGTGTCCTATCCTGCATACAGGCAGAGAGCTCTCAACAATATCTCCAGGAGACAAATGATCAGATGCAAGAAGTCTGTGAACTGCCAGGGTGGTGATGAGCACTCTGGTAGTTCATTGAGAACTATAAGCTGTCTGTCGCAGTGGCTGACAGGACTTGCAGTTCTCACATTCGCAGATTACTGTGAATAAATGATGCACCTGTGCTTCCGTAGCACAGCCACACAGTTTTTGAAATGACAGTGGGTGTGGGGAAGACGATCCCCTGCTCGCTGTCAAAGCAGATATGTAGGAGGCAGTGGCTGAACATATTACACCCTAAATATGGGTGTAACCAGGTGAATTTATCCTTCAATTCACAGTAGAAGCCTATAAGGATCAGAAGGATTCAAAGTAAAGATTTAAATACTTTACAGTGTACCTGTGCCCAGACTGTGGATATTAAAGCGGAGCTCCACCCAAAAGGGGAAGTTCCGCTTTGACTGCTCCCCTTCTCCCCATTAAGGATTGGCACCTTTGGGGGGCAGAGGGGGGGAGCGGGTACCTGAATTTGACAGGTACCCACTCCCATTTCCGGTCCCATCGCCTAGGCGATCGGAAACGGAAGGTGTCCGCCTTCCCTTCCTGTAGTCTTTTGGGACACGTGACAGGTCCCAGAAGACTACAGGACCATTCATGAAGCGCAGCGCTACTTGCGCATGCGCAGTGGGTACCCGGCTGTGAAGCCGCAAGCTATCACAGCCGGGTGCCCACACTGAAGATGCCGGCTTGCTGGAATCCAGGGCGGCCGGTGAAACGGGATGAGGGGGACACACCGAGGGACAGGTAAGTGGCTGTTTTTTAAAAGTCAGCAGCTGCAGTTTTTGTAGATGCTGACTTTTATTTTTTGACAGGTGAGTGGAACTCCATTTTAAAGTATATGTAAATCCAATCACTAATATAGGCTTTAGGCATTAATATTCACATTTTTTTTATAAATCTTCAACTTTCATTAAAATATGTGATGATCCTGCTATGACGATCCTTGTGCAGACCCTTCTGGGGGACAGCAATTGGTCCTTCATCACTCGCTCACATACTGCCTTGATGCTGATAGATTCCAAATGTTTCCTGTCCTACTAGAGAATTTTAGTGTTTGCTATATGTAGCCCTTACTTTATCGGCTATTAATGTATAATAAACACGGGTTCTGACTCTTCCTCACCCTATATACAAAAAAATCCTCTTGAGATGGGCTTCGATGTGTATAAAATGAATACCTACAAAATACATTAGTATTCCAGCCATCAAGCTTTGTTTATGCATGAAAAATACTGCATAAATTAGGACTACAAAAGCAAAACCAGCATCTTCCCCAAAATGGAAATCAAAGTAGTCAGATCAGAGCTGCAGCTTTTGAAAACTGAAGCTCACACAAAGGATTGATGTTTCTGTAGATTAATGGCTGGAAAAGCAGTATTTGAACTATACTGCTAATTTCTGGGTTTTATTTCCCTCACCCCCCACCCCCCCTTTTTTTTTTTTTTTTTTTTTTTTCTTTTTTTTTTTTTTAAGGATGTAACTCTTGCAGGGATAGGTTTCTAATGACAGACTCATTAGGTTAGGACAGGATTTAGGATGGGGAATTGTCTTCCATACAATCAAAATCTTAATATATTAGGGAGAATCCACCAACAGGGGAGGTTGTACTAAATGTGTACCGTGTGCCCTCTAGTGCCGCCTTTCTCACCCTTTTTACCAAAGAAGAACATTTGAATAATAATTGTCAGGTCTTGGGATTAAGTCACTGTAAACTGTTGTGGACAGTGGGAAGGAGGACACTTGCAGACAGCTGAAGAATAGATTACCTGAGAGGAGAGGCTATGAAGGCTTGTTCAGGCGGGAGGACAATCTACCATTGCTTAAAGTGAATCTTCACTGCATTTCAGCACCACGATCCAAAAACTGTTTATTTCTTTGTTACTATTCAAACCCAACTCATCCATCCATCCATGCTTTACTTTTCTGAGATCACATCCCTTTTAGCACAGGGGTGTCAAACTGGCCGTCCTCCAGCTGTTGCCAAACTACAAGTCCCATCATGCCTCTGCCTTTGGGAGTCATGTTTCTAACGGTCATTCTTGCAATGCCTCATGGGACTTGTAGTTTGGCAACAGCCGGAGGGCTGCCAGTTGGGACACCCGTGCGTAGAACTTCTGGCCGTGGCCATCTTGAGTAAGGGCAGATGATTCATGTAGCTTTTACTTCTTGCAATTCATCTGCCTTCGCTCAGCCATGCATGCATGAGGGTGTGCTTAGCAGAGAAAACCCCTCCAGAAGACTCCTGGGCAGGGGCAGACTGACCATTTGGAAACTCAGGTGGGGCCCCATGAGATGCCCCTGGTACCTTTTTTTTTTTTTTTTTTTTTTTTTTTTTTTTTTTTTTTTCTTTCATAGGCTTTTTTGAGTTTGGGCAAGGACACGGGCCCCATGATCCCCTATTGCCTGGGGGCCCCATGAGTTGTCAGTCCACCCCTGCTCCTGGGATGTATAACACTTGCCTAGGCATGGAAACCAGGAAGTAACTGAAGAATTGAAAAACACAAGTTAAAAAAAAAAAGTAGATGACATACTTTCCTATCTCAATCAATTCAGTACTCCACTCTATGGATTTCTTGGTATGGGTACCAAGTGCAGCTGCCCCCACCGTGCTTATATTCTGTGAATAGGATACAACCAAGGCAAGTAAAGACAATATGGTGTTGCACTGTATTGTCTTTTTATATAAAAAAAAAAAAAAGAATAGTGAAGCGCTTAAATTATATAAGAGTAAAAATAAATACACTTAAAATTGTGCTAAAATATATACCATTTCCAAATTTTTACGCTTATGATATTTAATTTAAGCGCTTCACGATTCTTTTTTTTTATAATTGGACTTGGTGGTTTAAGTTGAGTGACAGCAGCTAAATAATAGGCATTAAATTTCCCTATTGAGCGCAGGAGGATTGTCTTTTATATACTTTCCAATCTATTAATGCTATCAGCATAAGGACTAACAATAGTCAGCGTTAACTGAGAGGGTAACGTTCTCCTTTAAGCATCCTCTATCTGAACCCTAGGATTTGTATGGATCTCTAGCAGAGAAGCTGCTGTGGTGGATTCCTCATAGGAATATATGTAGACTGCCCTTAAATAACTTCAGATTAGCGCAAGGATTTCCCTACTGGGGACCTTCGCCGGGGACCATATTTCGCCTGACTCAAAACAGTTGTTTCCTATGCATTCCGTGGTTTTTATTATGCATTGAGAACACTTCTGTCAAATTCTTTAAGTCTTTGCTTTTTCACTGACTGCTGTTCTCTTGTCTTGTTCAGGACCCAACAACCAGTCAAATATCCAGGAAGAAGTGATCCCAGTTGTAAAGAAAACACGTGTAGGTGTAATATTAAGATTGGAAAGCAAAAATAATCTTTGCATTTACTAGTATGTAAATTTAGACATGGTTTTTAGATGATTGGATGATTCTTTTTTACATTCTTTGATGTCTCCCTCGCAGAAAGCCGCCGCCTCAGGCCAGGAGAACGAGATTAGTTGGGAGGTGAACATGCGGACGGACGTCCTTCTGAGCGGCCGGGAAAAGATCCTCAGTCTCCTCAACAATGGCTCAGTAAAAGAGCTGAAGTCTTTGCAGAAGATTGGAGACAAGAAATCCAAGCTCATTGTGGGCTGGAGGGAGCTGAATGGCCCATTCAAAAAGGTGGGGTGATGCTGTGTGCCATCTTGTCTATTTCATGAAGCGGAAGTTCACTGTGTGCACCAACTCCAAGTGCTTTTCAGGGGCAGTTTCCTGTAGTCATTCAGGCAGTTGATGGTCTATTAAACTTGAAGGTGATGCTTAGACTGAAGGGTCCGCCTACACAGAAATGATATATGGTGTTGGTGGTTTTAACCCTCCATTTCACCTGTCTCCTCTAATTTCAGTGAGATCACTACACTGATGATCCAACCAGGGGCGGACTGACAACTCATGGGGCCCACGGGCAATAGGGGATCATGGGGCCCCTGTGTCCAAACCCAAAAAACTCAAAAAAGGTACCAGGGGCATCTCATGGGGCCCCCTACTGACTCCGGGCCCTCGGGTAGTGCCCGAGTTTCCAAATGGTCAGTCCGCCCCTGGATCCAACTGCACAAAATAAAGAATAAACAGGTGGCGCGCACACCTAGTGCATTATCCAAGGTTTATTCAAAGGTATAAAAGATAAAAATGTTCCAACTGTAACAAGCATCAGTCCAACTCATCCACTACACATCTGTACTAGTCTAAGAGGCTGGTCAGCAGCTCTGAGGAAAGGGATTCGTCCCAGAAACGCATCAGCTATTTGACCGCACTGACAGTTGGAACACCTTGCTTGCTGTTGTGGCCATCTTGGTGCAAAAGCTTTTTATATAGATGCTTCTCTGTGAGTGTTTTTTTTTTTATACCTTTCAATAAACCTTGGATAATGCTCTAGGTGTGTGCCCCACTTGTTTATTCTTTATCTAGTGGCTGATCTCCCCGTCTGAGGAGGGCTGCACCCCTGAATCATCTTCCTTTTGGTTCTGTGTCCTGGTTCCCTTGGCTTCCCTTTGGCTGTCCATTTCCTGAAGCACTGGAGAGTACATACGATATCCAACTCGGCACACCTGTTGTGCCCTTTTATAATAGGATCCTACCATCCCTGCAGGGTTTTTTGTTTTTTTTTTTTTTTTTGTTTTTTTTTTTAATGGAAAATTCAACAGAAGGCAGGAATACACTGGATAGACACAGCCAGTAATTACAGCAGGGGGATCATTGCAGGACCGTAAGCAAAATCGCATGTTTTTTTCCTCTTGCGTGCATCTATTTGGCAGGTATGCTGCAGTGCTAATACCCCATCGCATCATGCTAAAATGCATGAGCACTTGTGCACCAAACACATGGTAACAAACTGCCATACGTTTTGGTGCAGAATCTATTTACAAGGTGCTGTCTCATCTTTGTGCGCTTATTATTGTGTGTAGGGAAGTCACGTAAAATTAATGGCCTGTCCTAGATGCACAGCACCCAGGGGCGTATTTACCTAGGCAAACAAGGCATTTGCCTAGGGCGGCATTTTTCACGGGGGCAGCGATGCCCCCCAAAACAAGGGATGGAGGAAAGGACACACGCAGCATAGGGACCAGGTGGGATCTGAGAGAGGCTGCTTGATGGTGTATGCAGAGCCTGACTCTTGTTCCCGGGGATGTCCGGAGCTTTGAAGCTGAGTGTCTTCTCTCTCTTGCCGGGGTTGCCAGTGTGTATGGGGTGTTGGTAGTGGAAGGCTCTCTCGGGAAGGGGGGGTTGTTGGTCAATGTCAGGCTCTTATCGTGGGGGAGGGGGGTGTTTGTCAGTGTCAGGGTCTCTCCATGGGGGGGGGGAGCCATTTTTTGTGTTTTCCTAGGGCAGCATAAAATCTAAATACACCACTGACAGCACTTGAACAGGGGTGAACAGCAAATAAGGAGCCAGGAGATGGCTCAGTCCATATATGACCCAGTGTACCAGATATGATTTATTTCGGCTATAGGTTGTCAGATGAGGATTACACACCATATCTCCTGGACTGCAGTGCTGATGTCCCCAAACTCTTCACACTATTGGCCCATTGCTGAAAGGGGGCTAACTGGTTAGTAACGGGGAGCAGAAAAGGGAGTGGCTGGACTAGTCTATGGGAGCTGGCAGCGATTTGAATGCCAAAAAGCTCCAGTTGAGGTCTGCTTTGTTAATCCCCGCTGTCTCTGATGCTCTTCTGGCCAGCATTTACAAGTTGGCCCTGGCGGTATTCCCGAGTGTAGCTCGGGGTAAAGTTTCAGCACCACAAGCAGTAACCCCCCGAGCTACACTCGGGAATACACTGCAGCGTTGCTCTGAGATCTCTTCTTCTCTTACCTTGTCCTGCGCTCCCGCGATGTCCCCCCCTGCAGTGTCCCCTGTAATGTCCTCCGGCCGATGCCGGCATCTGTCTTCTGGGTTCCATTCCCTGCGAGCGTCGGGACGTACGGGGGACGGAACGGTGGAAAATTTGAAAATGGCAAAAAGTGACATTCACTAAATCCACTAAAATCACAAAGTATAACATTCCTGTATCAAACCATTTCACATACATTTTGTCCCGAGTGCTTTGTCCGGCGCCCTGCCTGCATTTTTACTGTTCTTTCTGCCTGGAAACTGAGAAACGTCCATGGCGTCCAAAAAGCGTCCCTTTAGGTCAAAAGCGGTTTTAGACCGGCTAGAGAACAGCGATAGTAAATCAGAACCACTTGCAGAATTGAGTGATAATGATTCGTGGGGGAAATTCCTCATCAGACACTGAAAACGATTCTGCGACTGAGCTCAGCGATGTGCGAACTTGGCGCTATATTTCAAACTTCAGTGTTTTTGGTTTGTTTATATTGAATTAAATTTTTTTTTATATTTGATTATTTCTTAAATTATAATTTATGATTCCGTGTTTCAAATTTTATCATACCCGGGATGTTTACTAGACTCTTGTTCGGACAGATTTCAGTGAGTTATTCCTAAAAATTACAGGCCTACAATAAAAAAAAAATACATATTTCCATTGAAAACAATGTACCGCTTTGAGCACAGAAATATGGACATAATCAGACCGCTCGGGAGGTTAATGACTGGACATGGATTGCAATCAACTGTTTTGGTTAAAAGAAACCTGCCCTGAGAGGACATTTGGGCTGCCATTGCTCCCGTGAATATGTGAGATGCAGTGCTGTCATTACCACCCTCTCTTGGTTCTCTGTTGGTACTTTGCACCCCTGACCACAGCTAGGCATTCAGATACAGGCTTCTGCCTCTTAGATGCATATCAGAAGATTCAGTGTTCTGGGTCAGGTGCTTGGCTCAGTATTAGCATTTCCAGGGCAGTATTCTCAACTGCTGTATCTTAGGTTTACTTTAAGTCAGAATTATTTGGCTTTTGGGATGCTCCGAATTTTTGGAAGCAATACTTGCCTACTCTGTGCTATATTGCACAAAAAGGCCTCTTACCCAGGGGTGTGTTTACCACAAGGCATTTGCCTAGGGCGGTATTTTTTCAGTGGGGGCAGCACTGCTCCTTGGAGGAAGGGATGGAAGGAGGGACATGCGGCATGGGGACCTGGTGGGTTCTGGGAGATGCTGTGGGTTTCATGACAGTGTATGCAAAGCCCGAGTCTCATTCCTGCGGATGTCCGGAGCTGTGAAGATGAGTGTCTTTTCTCTGTCTCGCCATGGGGGATGGTGGCTGGTGTAGGGGGGGCAGTGGTAGTGGATGGCTCGGGTGGAGGACAGGGGAGTTCTTGGTCAATGTCAGGCTCTTTCTGCGGGGGGAGGTGCTAATTTTTGTTGCACAAAGCCTAAATACACCACTGCTCTTACCTCCTCTTCTGGAAGTCCCCCCCGCACGGTTAGCTCCTCCCTCCTTCTGGTGCTTCTCTAGCAAGCTAGGTGCTAAGGAGGCACCCTTGTGTGCATGCTCCTGAGCTGGGCTGTGTGCACCCATAGACACACAGCACAGTAAGCCATTCCCCTGCTCCCTTCTCATAGAAGTTTGACTGAAAGCAACAGGAACTTATTGGTCCACTGCCCTCAGCATCTCCTATGAAAGCAGGAGCGGTGATAGGAGTCAAATGTTAAGGTAAAATACACGCCAATACTTTTCCTAACACAGGAGGTGCCATAGAGTAAACCTTCTGACTTCAGAACCCCACCTTAAGGTCATAAACTTCATGGCAAATATGAGTTTGGCTTTTTTTTTTTTTTTTGTGTGTTTTTTTTTGTTTTTGTTTTTTTATGGCTTGACAAGTTTGGTCTGTTCTCTTCGCAGGTGGAAGATCTGGAAAATATGGAAGGGATGTCTGCCAAACTGGTCGCTTCATTTTTAAAGGTGATTATTTCTTCTAAACTTTGTTCATGTACAGTTAATACATCTCCTATATTAAAGTTCTGTCTGTATGTTTTATCCAAATGTTGACTTTGCTCTGACTTCTTTACCAGGTAGCTCTGTAGTATGCCACCCTGATGGGTCATTTAACTAAATCGGGGAGCCTAGTGCTCCATTAAAATTGACCCAAAACCTTTCTAGTATTTAACACTCTTGCAATTCAACAGGCCAACATCCTGAGCATAGTGGCCAGCTGAAGATCTGCCGCTATGGACCCTGCACTTGTCTGGAGCCTTTGATGTAATGGATTCTATGAAACCTTGTTACACCTCCATGGGGCTCAGTCCACCCCCAGCTCAGCACAGGAGGTAATGGAGGGGGTTCATCCATGAAACAACCTTGTCCCAGCTCCTGTCCCCTCGGTTTGTCAAATATCCTCATCGTGACTCTGTGCCCTGCTTCAGAGTCCTTGTTGTGCTGATGGCAAAGCGAAGAGACTTTTGGGAGGATTTTTTTTTTTTTTTTTAATCCTGTTGCTTCTTTTTTTATTATTATTATATTTGACGTTTTCACGTAAAGAAGTGTCACGATTTGGAAATGTGTTTTTCAACGTCAAAAGCCTTTCTGATGCGTCTTATTTTGTTTTATCGAAACCACTCTTGTATATAAAATGTATTGTATTTTAAGGGCAAAACAAACATGGGACCAATGAAGTTCACTGTTTAGCGGCATTGTTTTTATACAGCTAAAGAAGTAAAATAACTTGTATAATGTTCATTTACAGGGGCGGACTGACCATTTGGAAACTCGGGCACTGCCTGAGGGCCTGGGGTCAGTAGGGGGGGGGCCCCATGAGATGCCCCTGGTACCTTTTTTTTTTCATAGGCTTTTTGGAGTTTGGGCAAGGACACAGGGGCCCCATGATCCTCTATTGCCCGGGGGCCCCATGAGTTGTCAGTCCGCCCCTGTTCATTTATCATCATGAATGTGACATTTGCATTACACATAATATGATTGTCATTAGCAATGAAAATTCCGCAAGCATTGCTAGCAATAATCACACATAGCGTGCAAGGAGACTTTTTTTTTTTTTGCAACAAAATGAACTGGTTGCAGGTATCTTAGATGGTTTAAACGTCTGACTTGTCCAGTAAATTGGTGCTCTGAAGGAAACTCTCAGCCCCAGTGGCCATAAAAGGACTGTTGCAGGATCTTAGCCCTGATAAAAGGTCTGACCGAATGTGACTTATCTACCCTACAGACTCAAAAGCAACATCTAGACCAGGATGGGGAGTGGAGATTTGGGACGGACTTTTTGGTCGTCCATTGCATGAATATTTACTTGCCCATATTATGTATTAATAAAACATCCGTTTGTTTTTTATTTTTTGTCGAAGTTATTTTATGTAATGTAGTGTGAAATAAAACTGGATTTTCCCAGGACAGATTCAGGCAATGCTGAGATCTATAATATAGGGGTGGGGTTGGATATTATCGGTACAAGATTGGCTCCCACTAATAGATTTGTCTACTGATGATCTCTTGATTACTATAGAGAAGTCCTATATCCTGATATGTGGCTAAATGGTTAGCACTTCCACCTGGCAGTACTCGGGTCGTTGGTTCAAATCCCAACTACGGCACCACCTGCCTGGAGTTTGCATGTTCTCCCTGTGCCTGCGTGGGTTTCCTCTGGTTTCCTCCCACAGTCCAAAGACATGCTGGTATGTGAATTGGCTCCTGTCTATATTGGCCCTAGTATATGTGTGTATGAATGTGAGTTAGGGACCTTAGATTGTATGCTCCTCGGGGGGCGGGGACTGATGTGAATGTACAATATATGTAAATCGCTTCATAAATTGACGGCGATATATAAGTATCTGAAATAAATAAATATGTTTGCTTGTTCTCCTGGATTAATGTAAAAGAAAAAAAGTTTTACAGGTACTTGTATAGTGCTGTCAATTTATGCAACACTTTACATTGTAATCTCCTTGAGGGTTAGGGACTGATGTGAATATAAAATATAAGGTCCCTAACGCTCATACTAGGGCCAATTTAGACAGGAGCAAATTAACCTAGCAGCGTGTCTTTGGAGTGTGGGAGGAAAGCGGAGGAAACCCGCACAGGGAGAACATGCAAATTCCACACAGGTAGTGCTGTGGCTAGGATTCGAAACAGACGACCCTGGTGCTGCCAGACAGAAGTGCTAACCACTTAGCCACTATGACACTCGATCTATAGCCGCTACGATTATGAGAGTTCTAAAGCTGAACACCTGACAGTTTAAAAAAAAAAAAAAAAAAGAGGCAAATATACTATTGTACTTGTAAGGATTGTCTGATTGTATAATTACCCAAATCTGATTCATTATTGCCTATACAGCAGCACTACAAAAGAGGAGCTGGAGTCTGAGCTGGCCAGGTGCCAGACCTGCATGAATGTACTATAAAGGAGTAAAGAAATTATCAGTTTCTTGCTGCTCCTTCATTGTCCATTCACAGGCTAGGAAGAGGGGAAACTGAGCTGAGCCCCACATGGGTTTTTTTTTTTTTTGGTTTGGTTTTTTTAATACCTTTTTTTGTTCTCTGTCAGGTCTTGCCTTTCACCCGCTTTTGGCTGTTACTTGTTTTGCCAAACCATATCTCACTAGCCAAAAATCTCTTAAAGGTTCTAGCTTTGCCACTTCCTGTAGCAGAACAGTCGAAGGGTTTTTTACGCCGGCCTGTTCCCAAACCCAAATTGGGCATTATCTCTATGATTGATCTCAAGGCTCTAAATGTTTGCATTAGTCCAAAAGTTCCTGATGGAATACGGAAAAAGTCATTGCCTTCCTTCACCTTGTAGAAGGGATGTGGTTGACTACACATGTGAAAGGACCTGTTTAGCAGAGCTCTGATGTTCCTGTTACAAGCCCCATTTCTATCTACAGCCTCAACAGATTGTTAGCAGTACCCCTCAGCTCTGGTCATACTACCTGGCTGGGTCAACACCGCGCTGAGTAACAGTCCGCAATAGGGAGTATAGACATCCAAAAGGCTGACACGTTTCGAGGACTTGCCTCTTCCTCAGAGCTCTGAGGAAGAGGCAAGTCCTCGAAACACGTCAGACTTTTGGATGTCTATACTCCCTATTGCGGACTGTTACTCAGCGCGGTGTTGACCCAGCTGTTCTTTTATGATGTGCCTTGACTATATTGTCGTTTTGTGAGTACAACACCTACTTTATTTTTTATGGTAATGCACTAGGCCTGTGCGCCCTCTCTTTGTTCTTTCCCCATTCAGTATATTTGGATTTCCCCGGTCCATTTGAGGGCAGCAAGGTGTGCATGTTCCAGATCATTCTTATTGTGGTTGTAGCATCGAGTCCATCCCCAAGCGCAGGAGCATTTTTGTTTGCTGGTTCTCTAGTCATACTACCCCCTGCTCTTCTCTGACATGACCAGGTTAAAGGACCGTGTGGGTCTTGGTGAGTCTGGAAGTCAAGATGCTGGCAGCCTGCCACATGGCTGATGGGCAGCAGGTGATAGCTACACAGCTGGAAAAGTTTGCCCAGCACTGGAGATATAATACCCACTTCATATACCTCCTGCCATCTACATTGGATGACCCCCCCCCCCCCCCCCCCCAACCTAGACTTGGCATCTGACTTCTGGGGATGAATGGAGAGGGGAATCTGCACTACTGTGAGAACTGCTACCACACTTCTCAAATTGCCTAGAGCTCAAATTAAAGAATCCATGCTTAGGGATGTTTTTCTCTGCGGTGTATCACTTCCATACTCTCCCTGTCCATTAAATGTTAAATTCGGGTGGTTCAGAGAGACTTATCGATTCTACAGCACTCTCTACAAAAAAAGCGCAGGAACACACATGATCCCCAGTAGGACCTAGTACATCGTCTCACCACCGCTGTAAAGATTGTTATCCACAAAAGATATCCTGAAAGCGGAAACCCTAAAGAACAGACTGTGATGTAATGCCAGGTTGATTGTCTGCCTGAAGGTGCCAATCCCTTTTGAATTCAATAAACCATTGCTAATGGAGACATTTGGCAAGGAACATCTCACACTGGTATTTACAGTCAGACATGCAGACAGGGTTCCCACCCATCCTTTACCCCCAGGCAATCTTCCGAGACCCTATCTTCATCAGATTACAGAGACAAAGAAAATGTTCTGTGCAGATCTAGAGAACTGAAAGAAGTACTCTTCAATATCACCCATGGTGTTCTTTCCAGACTTCTCTCCCACCTGATGTCCAAAAATACTGTGCCCAGTTTCAAGAGGTTAGAAAGTGCCTTCAAGGTCTACACTTAGCCCAGCAGGCTATTTCATTAGGCAGGATAAGAGTGGCGGCTGGTGACTAGGTCCACGTCTTTTCCTGGGAAAAGCCACGGACTGGCTAGACAGGCACTAAAACTGGCCCTACTTTTTCCCATTCTCTACCTAAGAGGTTTAACGAAAGCCATTCTCTTCCTCAGAGGTAGGAAGCTCTGCTCTCTACAGGTCAAATCCTTAACTTGCTCTGATGTCTTATATTGGTCTGAGTTGTTTTGCATGTCTGTTTCCACAACCCTTCATTTGTCATAGCAGAGTCCTAACCCTACTTAGCTGCAAAAAGCTCTTTAGAATTCATTCGCTGCCATACCTTACCATCGCCCATGGGCAATAGGGCGTGCGTACCCCTTGGCTCTTCAGTCCATTATGGATGTCCCTTTTTCAGTTGCATGACATTAACAACATTTTATGCTACTCGAGCATTTTGCACTAGTGTGCATACACTATATTGCCAAACGTATTGGCGCCGCCCTCCAGATCGTTGGCTTCAGGTGTTCCAATCACCTCCATGGCCACAGGTGTATAAAATCAAGCGCCTAGGCATGCAGAGGGCTTCTACAAACATCTTGGAAAGAATGGGTCGCTCTCAGGAGCTCAGTGAATGCAAATTGTGATAGGTGGCCACCTGGGCAATAAGTCCATCCGTGACATTTCCTGGCTACTAAATATTCCATGCTCAACTGTTAGTGGGATTATAACAAAGTGGAAGCAACTGGGAACAACAGCCACTCAGCCACCAAGTGGTAGGCCACGTCACATGACAGGGCGGGGTCAGCGCATGCTGACACACAGAGCGCAGAAGTCACCAACTGTCTGCAGAGTCAATAGCTAAAGACCTCCAAACTTGGCGAGGCCTTCAGATGAGCCCAACAACAGTGCGTAGAGAGCTTCATGGAATGGGTTTCCATAGCCGAGCAGCTGCATCCAAGCATTACATCACCAAGTACAATGAAAAGCGTTGGATGCGTGGTGTAAAGCACGCCACCACTGGACTCTAGAGCAGTGGAGATGTGTTCTCTGGAATGGCCAATCACGCTTCTCTGTCTGGCAATCCGATGGACATGTCTGGGTTTGGCGGTTGCCAAGAGACTGGTACTTGCCTGACTGCATGGTGTCAAGTGTAAAATTTGGTGGAGGAGAGATTATGGTGTGGGGTTGTGTTTCAGGGGTTGGGCTTGGCCCCCTAGTTCCAGTGAAGGGAACTCTTAAGGCATCAGCATACCAAGACATTTTGGACAATTTTATGCTCCCAACTTTGTGGGAAGAGTTTGGGGACGGCCCCTTCCTGTTCCAACATGACTGCCCACCAGTGCACAAAGCAAGGTCCATAAAGACACGGAGGATGGGGGTGGAGGAACTTGTGGCCTGCACAGAGTCCTGACCTCAACCCCATAGAACACCTTTGGGATGAATTAGAGCGGAGACTGTGAGCCAGGCCTCCTCCCCCGACATCAGTGCCTGACCTGACAAATGTGCTTCTGGAAGAAAGGTCAAACATTCTCATAGACCTACTTCTAGCCCTTGTGGACGGCCTTTTTTGAAGAGTAGAAGCTGTTATAGCTGCAAAGGGCGGGGCCAACTCAATATTGAACCCTATGGACTACGAGTGGGATGCCATTAAAGTTCATGTGTGTGGAAAGGGCGGGGCCAACTCAATATTGAACCCTATGGACTACGAGTGGGATGCCATTAAAGTTCATGTGTGTGGAAAAGGCCGGCTTCCCAGTGGAAAGGCCGCTTCCCAGTTGGCAATATAGTGCATCTCAGAAGGGGTGGGTTGGAAGGTGCTACTGCTGCAGTTTCAGAGACTGAAGCCAGGTATGTCTGAGACCCAACACCTGATAATAAGATGTGTTGATTGGGGTTGCTGTCTAAGCTACACCGCCTTCTCAACAGAGCATAACAAACAATTTTTCCATGGACTAAAAAGGGAAAGAAAAAAAAGCGTTTAAACTATTGGTTCAAATAGCAAGACCTCAGACAGCTCAAATACATGCTGGTACCCTAAAAGACTACTAATTTCAAATCCACTCACATGCAGTAGATATTTGTGATGTATTTAAGACCTAATACTAGTCATGCACCGAAATAGCGGCTGCCAAAAATTAACGGCCAAAAATAGGGTTATCGGCGGTTTTGCCAATAGAGAAAAATAAGTACCGATAATGATAAGTGACTTTAATGCAAAATTGTGTGCTATTGACTTCAATGCAAAAATCACGTCCCATTGACCTCAATGCAAAAACGCCCCTAATTGACTTCAATGCAAAAATGCCTCCTATTTAGGTTTTTGAATTTTATATATGTTACATTTTATTTTCTGTTCAATTTTTGTGTTCCTTCCAATAAAAGTTATTTTACTTTACCTGATTGTATTTTTTCAACTCATATTCATTTAACAAATAAATAAAAGTGCAGCGCTAAATGTTAGTAGATAAATGAATAATAAAATGTCCCAAAAACATATTATAAACGCATGGATAAATAGTTCATAAAATATAGAGGTAATCCACTTGATGTCACAGTATACCAGTGTTTCTCATCTCCAGTCCTCATGGACCCCCAACAGGTCATGTTTTCAGGATTTCCATTATTTTGCACAGGTGATTTGATCAGTTTCACTGCTTTAGTAATTACCACAGCTGTTTCATCTGAGGGAAATCCTGAAAACATGACCTGTTGGGGGTCCATGAGGACTGGAGTTGAGAAACACTGCAGTATACCAAGGGAAGCAGTTACTGGGGCAAATGATAAAATTGCGCACTCACCAGATGCGCATAGGTAATGCGCATGTAATCATTATCCAACCAGGTCACTTAGGAAGGCGGAATAGGTGAGCATCCATCTAAAGGTGGGAAATCTTGTCTTGGTGGTAAGTGATTAAAACTGCCAGGTCCAGAAGTCCCCTTAAGGCAGTGTTTCTCAACTCCAGTCCTCATGGACCCCCAACAGGTCATGTTTTCAGGATTTCCATTATTTTGCACAGGTGATTTGATCAGTTTCACTGCCTTAGTAATTACCACAGCTGTTTCATCTGAGGGAAATCCTGAAAACGTGACCTGTTGGGGGGTCCATGAGGACTGGAGTTGAGAAACACTGCCTTAAGGTTGGATGGGTGCACAGACTGGATACAGGGCTCCCTCCCTCTGGTGGTAGTGGATAGTAATGGGATATCCCCTTTTTAAAGATGGCCGCCGGGCCTCCTCGTGGCTCCAGGCAGCAGTGATATCACGCTCTGTTGGCTCCTCCTAAGGCCTTTCGTGCAATGCACATCATCAGAGGGGATATTCATTTAAACTCATGATAATAAAAAGTCGAATATAATACATTTTATATGTAAAAAATATTTTTTTAAAAAACTATCCTTTTCAGTTTTCGGCCAAGTACATCCTGATTTTTCTATTTCAGTCCAGAATTTTCATTTCGGCGCACTGCTATCTAATACCAAAACCGTTTCAACCCTGCTGAATTGCAGTTGGTATTAGATGGGATCACCCTTCCTGAAATTGTCAGCAGCAAATCAATGACTGCTAAATTCCAAGTTTACACTCCGTGAGTTGGATGTATCGGTGTCCAGTTTCCCTAATTCTAAGGCTATTGGAATAGATGGCTTTTTACTGGAATTATAAAAATGATACAGGAGAATTCTGTTGCCAGCCCTTCTACTTTCACGTAACGAACCATTCTGTGCTGGCAAACTTCCCTCCTCTGTGTAGGACGCTATGGTCATGGTGATACAGACAGACTTGATGGACCACTCGGTCTTCTTCTGCCGTAATGTTTCTGTACCTAAAAAAGACAAAGACACACTACTTCAAGGATCTTACCACCCCAAAGCTTTACTCCTACTGATATTAGAATTCTGGCTAAAGTACAAAAAAAACAAGGTCACATGTAAAATTTTACAGTCTGACCAAACAGGATTTATGCCCAATCTCTCTAAAGCCACCAATGTTAGTTGAACCTGCCTAAATATCCAAACCCCAGCAGACATCACTGGCAACAGGGCCTCGCTAACACTGGTCACTGTCAAAGCTTTTAACAGTGTGGGGTGGGGCTATCTTTAAAGCGGAGTTCCACCCAAAAGAGGACGTTCCGCTTTATAGATTGGTCTCCGCTCCCCTTTAAGGATTGGCACATTTGGGGAGCGGGTACCCAAGATTGACAGGTACCCGCTCCCACTTCCGCTGCGATCGCCTAGGCGATCGGAAGCAGAAGTTGTCCTCCATCCCTCCCTCCCTCCTCCCTCCCCGTAGTCTTGTGGGACATGTGACAGGTCCCAGAAGACTACGGGGCCATTCAGGAAGTGCAGCGCTACTCGCGCATGTGCAGTGGGCACCCGGCTATGAAGCCGCAAGCTGTCATAGCCGGGTGCCCACACTAAAGATGCCGGTGCCTGGAATACAGTTTTTGTAGCTGCTTACTTTTTTTTTTTACAGCTTAAAAAAAAAAAAAAAAAAAAAAAGTGAGTGGAACTACTACTAGCGGAGGTTTGCTAGGCATTTGTCGAGCATTTGTCGAGTTAATAACGCCCCACAAACGCCTATAATGCAGTTTGAGTGGTGTTACCGCGTCGCAACCGCACCGCAAACGCCGGCCGGGCGTTTGCGGAGCGGCACCATAGACGAGAATAGGAGGCTTCAACGCCTCCTGACTCGACCAGAGGCATCCCTTTTGCCGTGACGCAAACGCTCCCGTTAGAACAGCACCATGTGCTGTAATGTGCAGAATTGGCAGAGGCGTTTGGGAAGCGGTAAAAACGCTTCCCAAACGCCTCTCTGCCGCCTGCACACAGCGCTAGTGTGAACGTAGCCTTACAGTGGTTGTAACCTCTGAAGTGAAAACAACTGAACAAAGCATATCTTCTATAAGTATGCACTTGCCTTGATCCAAAGCACCTCTATTTCCTCTCTCTCAGATTACACTCTGCTCTATGCTGTGCAGTGTGTGACATCAGATCTCCACTGCTCTGTCTCTGATGACTCTGTAATGTGGGCCTTTCAGGCCGAGCACTGAATGCCCCCTCATTATTACTGATTTCTGGGAGCCATCATTTCTCAGTTCACACTGACTTTGTTGAGGGAGATGTCACCGCTGTGAGAGAGACCACTGACGTAATTCTGCTAGGTGAAGTGGTGTGTGCTCTTTCCCGCCAAACCAGTATTGAGGAAGCATCTTCCTGCTGTGAAGAGCCTTGTGGCACAAATGTTTCTGCTGCCCGCCCACAGTGACTTAGGTCTCCTTTGGCTGCCCAACCCTCCAGTTGTGTATTTTCACCTCCTGCCAGCTGTCGATGTTTCATTAATACTTGAGGCCTTGCTTCTGCAATAAGCTTGTACACTGCTTATTGAAATGAGGCTGCAACTTGTCCACTTGAGGTGGGGGGGTATTCACGCTCTACTAGGTGCTTCCAGAACGCTTTCCACTAACCGGTTGGGGACTGCTTGCAGTGTATCCCTGATTTTGGTGATGTGTGTAGCCTGGAATGAGCTTGTCTCTGACTTTGGAGTCAACCCTCCTCCTCTTAGAGTATTGGACATGTAGAACAGATTTCTGTGAATTTAAACTCTAGCTGTGTGGAGAACTTTCTCGCAAGAAGCCTTTGATCTGCTTGCTTTTCGAGGGACGTTCCTTCAGACTGGCTCTGGACGAGGGACGTTCCTTCAGACTGGCTCTGGACGAGGGACGTTCCTTCAGACTGGCTCTGGACGAGGGACGTTCCTTCAGACTGGCTCTGGACGAGGGACGTTCCTTCAGACTGGCTCTGGACGAGGGACGTTCCTTCAGACTGGCTCTGGACGAGGGACGTTCCTTCAGACTGGCTCTGGACGAGGGACGTTCCTTCAGACTGGCTCTGGACGAGGGACGTTCCTTCAGACTGGCTCTGGACGAGGGACGTTCCTTCAGACTGGCTCTGGACGAGGGACGTTTCTTCACACTGGCTGTGGACGGCTATCATCAAGGATTTTACAGAGGGCAAAAGCACTCCTCTTCCCCAGTTAAAGAAGCACATATTTCTAAGCCATCTCCATTCCTCTACGCTAAAAATCTGTCCCTTTGTTTCAGCTCACCTTTAACTTCCACCTCAACCCAATCCATTACCTTCCCCCAATTGTGCCTTCCAAAAACTGCCAAATACACTGACAAGCCCTCCTTTTCAACTGTGTGTCTCAACTTTTCAGAGCAAAGGAACTCTACTCTTTTGGATGTCTGGATGTCTTCCTTACAAACTCAAATTTCTATCCTCTTCTTGGTATCCAACATTAAACCATCTGATCTCCATCAGGCACTTTCCAGACTTCTGCACAAGGAATCATTGTTCCAGTTCAGG